CGGCCCAATTAGAAGGTTTGGATATGGACGACGACGAAGAAGATGACGCCAAGAGCATGGCCACTACCGAAACTCAAAATCATCAATATTTGGCCAAGTCCCAATACTTGGCATCGGAAGAAACCTTCGAACGCAATTCCAAATTGGCCGTGAAGAAGGATATGCTCGAAAGTGAATGGTCCACCTACAATCCCAATGCCAGAGCAGCAGCAGCAGCAACGAATGTGGCAAGTACAACAAACAGTAGTAGTAGTAGTACTAGTGAGAGTACAGAATTTGAAGCGGGCAGCAGTAGCACTACAACTACTTCTACTACTTTCACCAATTCTCAAAGAAGTTTGGTATGAAAACGAAAAATTACGATGATAAAGGGAGTGAGTGGAGTGAGAGTGGGGAGAAGTGAGGCAAGGGGATGGTAGAAGGGTATTGAGTTGTACATTAATATTTTTATATTGTCCATTATTATTAATACAATGTAATATTATTATTATTTTCATCAATAGAAACAAACATGTGGAGTGAGAGTGGGGAGAAGTGAGGCAAGGGGATGGTAGAAGGGTATTGAGTTGTACATTAATATTTTTATATTGTCCATTATTATTAATACAATGTATTATTATTATTATTTTCATCAATAGAAACAAACATGTGGAGTGAGAGTGGGGAGAAGTGAGGCAAGGGGATGGTAGAAGGGTATTGAGTTGTACATTAATATTTTCATATTGTCCATTATTATTAATACAATGTAATATTATTATTATTTTCATCAATAGAAACAAACATGTGGAAGCTTTGTTCCGAGAACAATTACTATTTTAAAAAATAGTGTTACATTTGGGGATGCTTGGTTGTTGGTCCAGCATCTCGAGCACTCACTCAAAAAAATTCTCTTCTTCTTCTTCACATTAAAGTTTTAAAAAAAAAGAAAACCTGTGGGAAACAATTTTATAACATAATATATAACAAAGGTATTCAATGGCACCATGTAGTTCCACACCGCATCGTGGCTTTTATGATTGAGGCAAATACTTGTACTGTACACGCTTCTTCCGGTCCTGATTGATTCAAATACTTAGTCAATCATTCTTTCTTTCATTCATTCATTCATCGAGTCATTGTCACAATTACTACTTTTGTTGTTTCGCCAACGTGGGATACGATCCCATGGAACCATCGGAATCTATGTAATCGCCCACAAATTCGTGGGTCTGATAGTCCCAAGTACCTTGCACGAGCCTCAAAATTCGACTACCATTCTCGGCAAAATCGTGTTTCTCGACCCAATACGATTTGCCCGTCTCACTGATCAAACCTTCTTTCACCACAAAATCACTGCCATATCCTGAAATCGTCCACATTAAGGATTTGGGCTTGCTCCAGAACCGACCAGCAGGTCTTGTCACTGGCGAGGCAAAGACCAATTGGATTTCTCGGCCAATGCCACCGTCCAACTCTATATAGGCTCCACTGGCAGAAGTCCAATCACGGGTAGTAGGTGCTCCCATATTCTCAATACCACCACCAATACCACCCTCCAGGGCCATGTCGTCTTGAGTATACATCCGAGGTTCTTGAATGACTTTGAGTTTGGCCTTGGCCACTTGATTGTAAATCCAAAAGGGACTAATGACCTCACTCGTAAACATCAAATGGTACAGAACGACACCCCAAAAACACATGGCCAAGATCACCACGGCCGTGTGCCATCCCAAGGTGAACCCCAAGACGAAAGTTGCAATCAACGCCAAGCCTGCCACAAGTATTAGAAAGGATTGAAGTTTGGATGCTCCAGGGGGTGATGGTGATGGATTCTCACTCTGCATCTGTGATGGGTCATAATCATGATCATTATTCGCAGTAGCATTCGCATTGTCATCGTTATTTTCCAAGTTGTAGGGGGTAGAAGGCTCATTCAGTTGTGCCATGTTGTTGTTGTTGCTGTTGTTGGTATGGTTCATGGTATTTTAATTTTACTGTCAACTGTCAACTGTTTCTGGTATGCTTGGTCGAGTATTTGTGTGCGTTTTGGCCTTGCTCGCTCCTCTGTGGTGAGGTATTGATGGATCGATGGATCGATGGATGGATGGTTGGTTGGTTGGTTGGTTGGTTGGTGGAGGAACACTACTAATAAAGGTACGGCACTTGGTGCTGTGGGAAATAATGATGACTTGGATGGATTTTACAGCATTTTTTTTGGCCAAAATCTTTCCTTCTCACAAGAGTGAGTGACGACATGCTGGCTTGAACGCGCGTGCACATCGTGCTGGCAGTGCCACATTTTGGCAACTCCTACTTTTTACCTTGGACCATGACGGCCCGCAAAAAGACCTTTCCATGCCACAATATACTGTAGATACATGCATCCTCAAGCATATTTCGAAACTGGTTTCGAGCCGCAGCAAAGTTGTTGTTTCCATCCTGACTGATTTAGTTGATTCATTCATTCCCTTCATGGACGTTCCTTTGGTTTGAAAGATGCAGATCCTGGCGATGCGAAGTATCTTCTTCTTGAGACAACTGTAGACAATTCAAGAAGAGAAGACCTTCCATCTAGCTTTAGCCATCGCTTTTGCGTGGAATTTTGGTTGTGTCCAAAATCGTTCGTTCAGAATGAGAAGCAACGAGGACAGAGAAATACAGATGATAAAGAACACGGCAGTACTACCACTACTACCACTACTACCACTACTACCACTACTACCACTACTACCACTACTACCACCTTCCCCGAAGAATCCAGTCAGAGCTCACATCGCGCAGGGAGGAAAAGTGGTTCCCCTACTTTAGTTCTGCTGAGGGGAATAAGAGCTCTACAGAGAGCGAAAAGGAAATAAATGGCGCCATACCACAGAGTCACTCCTGTCGCTATTTCGACCACCACCCTCCCGCAGAGATGTTACAAAACGAATTGTAGTTACGCATTGGAGTTGCTTGATTTTGTCCACACGAAGGAACAGCAGCCGCTTATCCGATCTTTTGTATCGAAGTATATGTTGTCCTTTGAGTTTATCGTGGCGGTGTCAAATGAGGAGGAACAATCGTCGACGAGCTCGTTCGACAGGGACCCTGTCGCTTAAAGTAGGTACTAGGTTGGTCGCTGAATTTGGATTGGCACTGTTCGTCCACAGGCAATTTTTGCGCAAAAAATTTTTCGGATCTCCTCCCAGCAGCAGATTTCTCTGGAACCCTCATTTGAACTCTGGTAATGTTGTTGCTTGCCTTCCGAGTTGGGTGGATGATGGAACAAGGATGGAACAAGGAAAAACCTGCTTGGCCAGCTTTGGAATCGTTGCTACCCTTTCCCGATGACTCCAGTTGCCAGCTGTCGAGCTTGGCCTGGAAAGTGAATGCAAGAGTCAGTCGGGGTTGTTGTGGCGTGATCCATCAACTTTTAACCGCGGCTCCAGTACCACTGCTACTGCCAAAAGCCCAATCTCGAGTGATTGTACCGAAGGCTATAGACCACCAGCCATGTAATCGTCTTTCGTAGTAGCATACTCGTTAAATTCTTGAATAACTTTTGTTTTGTTGGCATGGGCCTATGATGATGATTATGATGATGGTGGTGGTGGTAGACTCGAGGAGTCAATGGTAGCAGCAGTATTTCTTGTTCTTGCAAAAGGACGATTAGACCGATTGTAATATAGTACTAGTCCCAAAAACAATATGGAAGCGATTAAAAAAGCCAAAGTAAACCAAAAGACCATGGCAATCATCAAAGAACCGCCTACGATAAGTGCTAGAAAGGAAGAAAGAGTGGAGGGTCGTCTTGTTGTTGTTGTCTTTGTTGCGTCGTCATCGTCGTCATAATCACGTTCCAATTGGTAGGGTGTGGACGATGGTTCTTCTTGTGAAATGTTGTCGCTGTTATTGTTATTGTCGTTGTTGTTGTTGTTGTTGTTGCTGTTGTTGTCGTTTTGGTCCATGGTAATACTGGTATGCTTGCTTGGGTGTGCAGGTTCTTTCACTGATTGGAAGGAAGGTGGAGGTGGAGGTACCTGTTACCAGTACCAGTATCGGTACGTGCATTTTGGAAACGAGGTTGGATCTTTTGCGCGCTGATTGTTTGCACGGACAATGCGCATGCAGGCCTTTCACGGTCAAAACTGCAACTCCTACACCGAGGACAAAAATAATGACTTCGTATCGGCCGTCGTTCTAATACACGGTATGGTATGAGTGAGGCGTCTACCGGTACAGTACCAGTATCGTACGTTTACTTCTCTCATTGATGTAGAGCTCATTACAGTAGTATAATCTATGGTTGTTGTAGTTATAACATTGCAGTAGCCCTTTTGCAATAAGTACTGTAAAATAATGATGAACGAATCTATGATGGTATCTTCAACCCTTGACCTCAGCAGTGAGTCCAACGGTACCGGTAGCATCTTCGTTCCCCCAGCACAAACCTTTCCATAGTCCAAGGCAATCCAATGATTCGCAAAAATAGGACAGGGTTGATTTTGTTTTCTCGGGTTGCAGCTTCATTTGCTTCTTTTTCTCTTGACTTTTGCTCTGTTGTTTTGGTTTTCCTCTGTGCCGATTTGTATCCGTGTCGAGAAAGTCTTCCAAACCAACGCTGTCCGAGGCGTCATCCACAAAACAAATCATTCGACAGTTTGCATTGTTGTTGTTCCTTCGAAAGCTTGTGTATTCTTCATCATGAATATCACAATCGTCATCTTCCATGGAATCATGCTGCGTCGTATTAGTATCCCCCAACGTGGTTTCTCCTTCTTGTTGCAAGTGTGAGGCATCCTCCAACAACTTGGTAGTATCATCATCAAAATTTGAACTTTGCACGTCTGCAAAGACACCAGAGAGCGACGAGACGCCCGACCCAAAGGAGGAAGTATAGTCATCGTCGTCCGAGGTAGTATACTTACTGCAAAAAGAGGAAGAAGAAGAATCATCATTGTTCTCTTGCACCACATTAGAAGAAGCATCTTGTGGGGTAGGATCTGGTTTGTTCTTCGGTGTTTCGGACCTTGTAGGAAGTGGGGTATAGATGACTCTTGTTCTTAATGTCGTCGTTGTTGTTGTCTCTGGTGGGACAAGGTCCGGAGTCGTCTGGTCTCGTTTGCTCGCCGCTGTCGTTCGAGAAATGAGGCCCGCTCGTGTTCTTCTTGGAGAATTCTTCCATTCAGCATTATAAGTCGAAGCCCTCGCAATGGCCACTCCTTCGTTTTGCGTCTGCTTTTGCTTTTGTCGTTGTCGTAAGGCCAACAAACCAATCGACCGTGGCCGACACAAGGATTCCGATTTCATTTCTATTTGCTTCTTGACTACTTTTTGGTTTATTCTCTCATCGAAGGGAACATCGGCGTAATCGTTGTCATCTTGAGTGTCATTATTATTACGATTATTGTTATTATTTCTTGCAATGGGCTGGATTCGTTTTCGGATGGTTCGATACATCGTCCTGTTCAAAAAATCTGTTGATGAGACTGTATTAATAATGAGAAACAACGTTGTGGCCGTAAAAATTGGCTCGAAGGCGTGACGAATGAGCCTGCAGGATGGCGGGTAATGTCCCATTTTTTCCGTTGAATAAGTATTTGGTCGCATTATTTACTTTTCATGGTTGCGAACGTCCAATTCCCTCTCAACGTCAATCTTTTTTCTCGACGTCTGTACACCGCACGTCGATATTTAGTCATGTAAGTCGTCAACTCAAAAGGATTGCGCGCTCGGCTCGGGAATGGATTCAAAAAGGTGATCCATAAGTGTTTGAATCCAACAAAAGATTTTGAAATTTGATTCTCATCACAATTTGCATCCACTTCTGCAATCACGTTTTTTCGGTCAACCTTGATCATCATCATCATCATCATCATCATCATCATCATCATCATCTTGGGTGACTACAATACTATAAATCACCAGTACAAGGATGAGCAATGCAATGGTGGCTTCGACCACGAATCATCCGATGATGACAGTGATCGGACAACAACAACAACGACAACAACAACGAAATCAGCAATATGGAAAAGTGAACGAAGAAACTCTGGCTTCTTGCAGTCGCACATTGAATGCATCCTTCGAAAAGGCATTAGAACTATCCGCTGTGAACATATCAACTGATACATCGCCGACAGAGCAGAGCAGTAACATGTCTCTTCCCAGCGTCCGTCAAATGGCAAAAGATTTTGAAGAGAAACGAAAGATCTTCAAGGAACAACAACAACAACAGCAGCAGCAGCAGCTTGACAACAACAACAACAACAACAACACATCCGCAGTTTTGTCAAATTTTGGCATGCCCCTATCTCCAATTCCAATGAAGAACGACAGCGAGGAATCACCTTTAGCAATTTGTGAAAAGTGTAATCATCCAGGCGGACCAACGAAGCAGACATGTCTTATTATTACGACACCACCCAAGATTCTTCGAAAAGATGCCGATTGTGAGACGATTCTATCATCAGAAGAACAAGAAAACAGTAAGAACACGGCGGAGTATGTGAATGAAAAGGATCTTTTCGATACTCCAGATAAGCAAGCATTCTTGTCGGAAGCACCATTTCAATACGACACTCCGCCTCAGAAAAAGTTATTTGGGGACGACAATGCCATTTACTTTGGGCATTTGGTTCCTTCCACGGGAGTGGAAAACGAAGTAGATACCCCCAAAACTTGCAATACGTCTAACCTATCCAGTTCCTTTCTTGTGTCGCAAATTGCCTTTGATCCCAACAAGACGAATCCTCCTGTGGACCCGGAGGAGTCCTTTGAAACATTCTATAGCCAAGATTCTAATGCCAACCGGAAACGATCCTACTTTGACGATACCTTTGACTCTTCTACTGACAATATCCAAGAGAAGGATCTTCCGTCAAGCAGAAAAAGTAGTACCTTGTTCGGACGAGCTGAAAACCTTTTCTATTCCCAGGTAGATACTCTTGTCGACAAGTTCGTCATGGCCTGTGTCCAGGAAAAGGATATTGTTGCTCCCGGTCGTGGTGTGAACACCAAGAAGAAGAAGAAGTCAACAAGAAGCGGTAAGAAGACTACAACAACAACCACCACAACGAGTGAGGACGGCACCACCAGTCGCCAGCCTCGGGTGGCAAATGTGTAATCATCAAGAGACAGGTTACGGCATTGACTCACACTCTTAGAGCCATAGTACCGTGACTCTTGTGTGCTAGACACACCTACATATTATATATCATACCTCTACATAAAATTGTACAACCTTTAGAGCATCTCCAGCCGAGGCCGTCAATCGACTAGATAGAATAAATGTGATTGGCTGAAATCGGAAGACGTGCAGACGCTTATGACTATGCCTCGAAAGAAGCATTCGTCGGTCTTGCCGTCTATCCGAAATTGATCGAAGTGCCTTACATTTTTTGTGTAAAAGGTCCGTAGAAAATTGACGCGCAATTTGTATTCGATTGAGTCGATTGACGTTTGCTACAGAATTATGGACCAATATAGACCCTTATTGGAGTTCGATGCCAAAGGCAAACAAGTCCATTTTTCAAAGATCTCCCTTCGTGCTTGTCCACCGTTCATTCGCAATGCAAGTACAGGGTAGCTAACTCCAGTCAGTAGTAGCAGTAATAGTAGTGCCGCCAACTCTCTTCGGGCTCGAATTATTTTATATCTTGCTTTGTCCCATCTTGACGACGACGCCCAATCAAGTGATGCCTTGCATTCCCCTACTATTTCCGACTGGCAGTAGATTCGCAATGAAAGAATGTCTTATCCTACTATTATTATCGTCGGAGTTTTTCACTAGTGGAAATGCTCAGCAGGTGACGCTACAAGCATACGACAATACCGCTATGGTCGGCATGCCCATTGAAGAATGGGCCCTGGATTATGACTCGACCGTATCCATACCTGGAATGGTTTCTGTCCGGGTCATGGGATCTATTCCAGTGGTGGCTGACCCGGCTATGCCGAAAAGCAGCAGCATTTACGTCGACTGTGGTCCTACCCAAAGTAATTTACGACAACAAAATGATGAGGACGAAGACAATGTGGAGGAGAATGTGCCAGGTTTCTTTTGGCTGGATGATCATTTGGTGTGTCAATCCGGTTTCTACAATATTACTACATTAATGCAAATGGATGGGTCAATCCATACTCCCATCGTTGTGAGCTCTCGAAGAACGGAATGGGTCTTATATGGCGAGTTTTGGCCACAAAATGAACGCTTTTCTTTGACGAACATCGTTGCCGATATTATTTCAGTGTCTTCACAAAACCACGCGACGAGGAGTATATTCCGTCAAGTCAAAAGCACTGTTTCTCCTTTAGAGCAACGCCGCATCCGGCTTGCGCAGCAACTTCAGAATGGTTGGGGGCTGTATAATCACAACTCGCTCCAGGAAGCTATATTGCTTCCGGAAGGGATTCGTTTGAAATGGGAATTTTGTGGCATCTCTGACTCATCGTCAAGTTGCGATAAATCACCGAAAATTCCAGCCACTGTCCGACCTTTGGTTGCTTCAGTCACACCAGCAAGAAATACTGCAGAGGTTATGCAATTCGAAGTTGGATATCCAGCTCAAAATGCAACATTGGAAGTCACGTATCGATTCGGGCCAAATGACTCGATGGAGTTGACTTTTCACTCGACGTCTGCCCCCACCAATGGTTATATTCGTTTCAGTGCTGATGTTGCCTACTTTCCTGCTCGACGCGGAAGTATTGTGACGTCGTCGTCGTCCTCCATTTCTGTGTCAGCTGTTGGCTTGCGCTCGATCACATTCTGTGCCTGCAGCCTAGGTCGGTCCTCTGGTTTTCCTGTTGAAGAATCCAATCGGATCATCATGGTGCCGGTGCCAGAAGCTGGGCATTCCTTCACTGTTCACGGCTTTGATTCCACAGAAATGGACGAAACCGAATATGACTGCATGAAAAAGGGAACCCAAGACGTGACCATGATTCAAAATCAGCTTCAAGATTCTAAGTTGGCAACACTTATTAGGGGAATCGATGCTGCAATATATTACAACTTGATCTACACTCCTATGGAGCGCACTTTAATTGCTCCTGTTTCGCGGGGATGGGGAAAGGCACTTTGCATGCCCGCTCTTCTACCAGAACACGAATACGTTCTCTTTGATTGGGGTGAGTGCTGGTTTACAATGATGTTCTCCTTTGTGTGCTCTGGGCGCCGCTATGTGATATCTATCACTCAATTTTTTCGTCCTCTTCTTCTTCTTGAAACCGTGTAGATAATGTGTTAGTCGCCTACATGATGGGTATACGGAGGAAGAAGGATTTGGCCTATGCTAGTTTGATCCAAGTGGTTCGATCCAGAACTGCAAAAGGATTCATTCCTAACTTTAGTGCTGGCGGGGCCAAGAGTCAAGACCGCACGGAACCACCTCTTGCAGCCAAAGTTTTGTTGTTCCTTGCCGAAAAATTTGACGACAAATGGATCGTCGACTATCTTTGGGATGACTTGGCAATACAAATGGATTGGTTTTGGTCCAACCGACGACTAGATGATTTCATCGTTCTGGGGAGCGATCCGGTCTTGTATCCCAATTCGCATAGCACCAACACAATGCAAGGGGCTCGATATGAAAGTGGGCTGGACAATAGCCCAATGTACGATGGAAACTTTTTCAAGGGTAACTTGATGCAACTTTATGATGTTGGCATGACATCGCTAGTCTTGCAGGAATGCGAGTCGTTGATAACGCTCGCAAGTTTGATTGGTAAAGATCCGAACAATTTGAAACACCGAGCAAAGCTTCTACGTCAAAGCTTACAAAAATTATGGGACCCCGATTATGGGATCTACACCAACATGTTCGTTAATGGAACCTTTTACAAGCGCCGGTCACCTACAAGCTTTTACCCTCTATTGAGCAAGGTGGCAACTGATGCTCAAGTAGGCTCTATGGTGGAACATTGGCTGACCAATGAAACTCGATTCTGTATTGGTCGACGTACGGAGGATTGTTGGTGGGGCCTACCCAGCATATCGGCCGACGATCCAGCCTTTTCCGGGCTTGGGAATTGGCGTGGCTATGTATGGGGTCCAATGAGCATTTTGGTCTACTGGGCACTAGACAACTACAGTCATTTGCCTCAAGTGTCCTTGGCCAAATATCAGCTGGCGAATCAAATGTCAGACATGTTCTTGAATCTCTGGGAGAAGAAAGGGAGAATTTGTGAAAACTATTCGCCCCGTCACAATTCAACTGAATGTACTGGCGATAGATTCTATCACTGGGGTGCCCTTGCTGGAGTATTGGCCTTGATGGAAAGAAACGAGACAGAGCTTACAACGAGTATTAGTAGGTTGTAGCGCTCGTTGAAACTAGTTGCAGTAAATAACACACGGAGTAGGAATAAATGGCTTTGTTCTGTTCCGCTTCATTCCTTTGTTTTTCTTGAAATACGACTAACGTCGACTACAAGATACCAGCGATTACCACGACCGCTCACGATTGGTAGATTTTTGACATCACCATGCAACGCGAGTGTGCCCGGTTTCGCTGGAAACAACGCCCACCAGAAAAAAGAACTTTTGATTTTTTCCGGCTTCGTAAGAACTGCAATTTTGCTACTGCTCTCACACTTGTCAAAACGTTCCTTTCTTTCCTGTCTTCCAGGTATGTCCAGCAACTGAGAGAGAAGATCAAGACCTTCGCCACATTCGTAATCCTCCACTGTCGTTGTTACATTTGTGTCTTTTGTTCGCGTTTGCGTTTGCTAACAATGAATTTTCTTTCAATCTTTAGAAAAGAAAAGAGTAATCATTCAAAGGTTCTTATTTGCTACTGTCAATGTTTACCCGCTTTCTACTATGCATTTTATTCCTTCTTTTGGCGTTTGCACAAGCAGAGAGCGGCAGCTATGTACGAAGTCAGCGGATTAGACCTGCTTCTCGGACAAATCATGAATCTACAAACAAGAAGAAGAATGGTGGAGCTCCGAACATTCAGTTTCAAACAGTGACTCGTTTAGACGGTAGTCAACCTGCTCGCAGTGAGCCCAGATACCTCAAATTCAAATGGTAGAGGGCCAACGTCTTCTGTTAGGAAGACTACGGGCAATTTATTTTTGCAGGCGACACAGACACACAAGAACAGGTGCAACGAACCTTGACACCCAGTGTTTTGCGTACACATGATACGCTATGCCTTTCATTTTCTCGATAATCTACAACCTACATACATGCACTTTCTATAGGAATAAGCTAAATGATGAATCTAGGAGAATATCTTGTCTTTGTCACTGCTGTACGATGTTGTTGTTGTTGCCCAAACAAGATGGGTTCTCGAATTAGTCGTGTTTTTTGACAGTTTGGTGACACGAAAGCATCAAGAGAATTCCGTCACTACTGGAACGACCGGGAAATAGAAATTTAGCATTCAATTCTTGGGAGTAAATGTTGATTTTCCCGGCCGTCCCAGAACTTTTTTTTCGCTCGCGCATGCTTAACCGTTTCCTGGTCAGACAATACATTTCGTAGACTTGGTGGTACAAACTCTGACGTAGACCAATGAGTCAAACTGATTTACAGTCAGATCCATTTTTCGCTTCTACGTACGACATACAGGCGGGTTTCAGCGATGTCTGACCAGGAAACTGTTAACGGGCCTTGTCACCTTTGATTATAGGCCACTTCCACGCGAACCTGAAACTGACGATTGGCCGGACTTTTCTGCGCGCAGTTTCCGTTTTGAAGAAAAATCGTTTCCACACGATCATTTTCCCTCCAAAACTGGGCCAGTTTGCTGAAAATCCTGATCAGAAACTGATAAATTGGCCATTTCCACCGAACCCAATGCAACTATAAAATCATTTTCATCACTATTTTTCAACATGAGCTCAAGCGAGAAGTCAAGCGACAGCTGCATGAACAGCAGCAGTGGAATGTCTGCCAGTATTGATTCAAGCACTGACTCTAGCATGGACTCAAGCGCCAACTCAAGCCTTTGACTCAAGCCTTTACTCAAGCCTCGACTCAAGTCTCGACTCAAGTCTCGACTCAAGCATGAGTGGTGGCAGCTCCACAATCAGCGACCCATTCTATGTCTTTGAACACATTTTCGGCTTCCGCATGGACGACTTTTTCCTGGAGTTTGGGATCGTGTCAGATTTGTTCGATTTCGGTTTTGACGATGAAGAATCATCATCCGAGTCTGGTTATGAAAGGCAAGATATGAGGGGCAGGGGCCCAAGAGCTCCAAGAGTAGCAAGGAATCCCTACAATGGGTCATTCTACAATGGTGTCTACATCAAGAACGCTGATGAGCAGACTATCGCTGGTCCAAATGGCTTGAAAGTCTTAGGAAAGATATGGAACGTTCATTTGCTACCTTGAAGGCGAGGTTCGCTTGTCTAAAAAATCTTTCAAGGTTCAATGACAAGGAGACAATCGAAACTGCTTTCCACTGTTGCTGCATTATGCACAGCATAAACCACCACTTTGATAAGTATGATGGCATTGTACATGATGCAAACGAATTGCAGGAGGAGGACGAAACTGAGAATTTCGTTACTGGCCGTGCACAGCGCATTGATGCTTTGGTTGCTCACTTCAGCTGCAGCAGGGACACCCTTAGAAAAGATTTTAATGAACATAGATGACTAACAACGAAATGAAACATTGACCTTGTTTATATACCATATTACTAGCTAATTGCTGGTCCAAGTAGGGATTTCGTCGTCATCATCCGAAGTGGAAGAGACTGCAGTCTCAATGGGAATGGGAGATGACGCGCTACCACTAATACCAGCTAACGGATTACCAGTAATTGAAAGGGAGCCAGTAGTTGTTACCCTGTCGAATTCGTTAGGTTCGTCAGGCTCCTCCTCTTCTACAATTCCCGCCTCCAAAAGCATCTTGTGGTCCATCTCATCAAGCTTCTTTTCCAAAAGACGTTCTTGATTAGCAGACTTGCAGCGCTTGAGTCGCTTCAGCAAACCAGCATGAATAGTCTTCAATGCCGTCATCTTCATCCTTTTTGTATCACACACTGACATAGTATCACTATCTTGTTCGCTTTGGCTTGTGCCTTGTCAAGAGTGCGTTGCTCTTGTCTGTTCACGGTTAGATGGCGTACAGGAGTCCCAGTTGCGGGGTCAGTAGGGTCCTCAGGAAATTCCACAGAAGTTGCATCACAAAACTTGGGGTGAGGAATGACACCAGTGGGTCTTTGGTTTCAATACATCGGGCCATCATGTTAGTTGTTGTGTCATTTTCGTGGCTTTTTTGGGCGCTCATTTCATATTCAAATTCTAATCAAATCCTCAGTGGGCGCGAAAGCATTCAGTCTAAAGGCGCCAGAGCAGTCAGTCTAAAGGCCCCAAAGTATGCTAGTCCTGTCTTGAGCGGCCCAACAGCAACGGTCTTCCTATGAAGAGACAGCAACATAGATGTTGTTCCGTCGTGCGATGGATGTTTTGGATGGAGCTTCTGATACGGCTGGACAGGCAGACGTCCAATAATACAAATCTGTCGTCAGTTTCCGGTTTGTCGTGTGGAAATGCATTTTCTGCCACGACTGATGACGGACACCCGAAAAGTTGGACCGGAAAAGTCATATCATCAGTCATCGGTTTCAGGTTCGCGTGGAAGTGGCCTTAGATCGACCGATGAAGCAGGAATCAATTTCGGCGTCGTGCCATTGGGAGGAGCCTAAACAATACCTTTTGCCGAACGCGGGTTTGGTTCCTGACACATGTGAGGGTGTTCGGAGGATGCTCATAAAACCAAAAGATCGCTTCCTGTGTTTTTGTAGGTAGAATCATGAAGACTCAAGATGCGGACGCCTTTGGGGTCTGTCCCATTACTAATGAGCCCTTTGTTGACCCTGTTGTGGACCACGAAGGTAACACATACGAAAAGAAAGCCATTGAAGAATGGCTGGAACAAAACTCCACCTCGCCCATCACCCGCAACCCATTGACTTTGGATCAACTCTTTCCCAATCGTGCACTCAAGAATCTGATTGCCGAGTCTCAAGAAGAGGAAGGATCTGTCAAGAGTGCCAACACTTCGCCGACTGTGTCTGATGACGAAGCTGACTTTGAAAACCAAGAAGCCTTGATGGAACTTGCAAAGACAGCTCGAGTCCAAAGCATTATCTCTGGACCAGACGGGTTGGGCGCAGTAAAGATCGTAGTTCCAGATGACAAGTCGGAGCGTCGCTTGCCAGCTTCCATTATATGCGTCATCGACGAGAGCTATAGTATGGACGATGCAGCCACTACTCAAGAAGATCAAGAGGGGAACTCGGGATTAAGTTTGATGGACATTGTGAAGCACGCCACCAAGACCGTGATTGAAATTCTAGGTCCCGAAGATTGCCTCGCCATTATAACCTATGCAAATAAAGCTACATTGCGATTGCCCTTTCTCAAGATGACCCGCGCCAATAAAAACATGGCGACTAGGGTCGTCAATGAATTCAGGACTAGGGGAAGCACAAATTTGTGGGACGGTCTCTTACAAGCAATGGAACTAGCCAACAAGATGACTCAGACCACTGATGTCTTTCTACTGACGGATGGTGTTCCCAACATTCATCCACCTCGAGGCGAGCTTGAGACCTTCACCCGCTACAAGACAAAGACTCCAAAATGCAACTACCGAATCTCTACTTTTGGTTTTGGATACTGTCTGGACAGCAAGCTATTGAATGACCTTGCGATTGAAGGAGATGGGCAATTCTTTTTTATTCCTGATTCATCCTTTGTTGGCACTGTTTTCATTAATGCCACTTCCTTTGTGGTGAGTACTGCTCTGGGGAAAAGCACACTGGTCTTCGAAGAGAACGGGGTAGCAAGAATCCATATGAACAAAGACGATGAGACAACGCCACCTCAGCAGCAAGCAAAATCTCTACCAAGTTTGTCGTTTGGGCATACTTTGGACCTAATCGTTAAGAAAGAGGACCATGGGGCGGACATCAGCTGGGACGCTCCAGCGAGTTCACTTGACTGGGAAGTACCCAGGCTTCGGCATGCCATGGTGGAATTAATTCGAAGTGCCGAGGAACGTTTCACTAGGAAGGAAGGCAATGCTTTGCAGGTTGCTCAACAGGAGATCACAAAACTTGTTGCTGAATTCGATTTGGCTCTTGAAGAATCAGTCAATGTTGAATCAAATAGTCGCACGATCTTGAAGGCAATTCGTGAAGATTTGACAGGCCAGATCACAGAGGCATACAGTCGCGCTGATTGGTACAATAAGTGGGGAAAACACTATCTTTTATCCCTTGCTCGGGCACACGAGTTGCAGCGATGCACTAACTTCAAAGACCCTGGCCTTCAAATTTATGCCACCTCAAAATTTGGAATGATTCGCGATGAAGCAGAAGAAATCTTTTGCAAGATCCCGCCACCAACGCCATCTCGAAGAGTTGAAAGCAGCCGTTTTCGGCCTGTTGCATCCATGTCTACGTACTATAATGCAGCGGCTGGGTGCTTGGCTCGAGGCAGTGTTCGTATGGTAGATGGCCGCTTCGTGCCAGTAAGCTCAGTGTGCCCCGGTGATACTCTCCAGCTAGGTTCAAGAGCAGTGAAGGTGCGTTGCGTTGTCACTACAGAATGTGACAATGGGGTGGAAGAGTTGGTGGAGCTTGAAGGTGGCGTCTTGGTCACACCATGGCATCCAATCCGAAAGAAAGGATCTATGAAGTGGGAATTTCCTGCCAACTTGGGCACGGCAAAGCTCTATTCCTGCAAGATGGTCTACAACTTCGTTTTGTACAGTGACTGTGCTGTGCCCTTGGGTCCTTATGAAGCAATCGCCCTTGGACATGGCATCTCTGATCCCGTTGCCAAACATGCGTATTTTGGATCTAGTAGGGTCGTCCAAGACCTCCGGTCCATGTACGGTTGGAATCACGGTCGCGTCCACTTGGGAACCAACCCAGGAAGGCGAGATCCTGAAACTGGACAAGTTAGTGGCTTTGTCCAGAACATCAATGTTTGGGAAAGTGACGGCGCTGAAAATTCTGAAGCACCCAATGGTCACCAGATGCTGCGTTCAGATCGTGTTTCTGCCTGATTTCGTGTTTTCTATGAGTGAAAACCAATTTAGTAGCCGCTTCGCATATGTATCGGTCGATTTTTAAAAATTATTAATCCTTGCCTATTTTTGATCATCTCGTTTTTGAACACTTCAATCAGGCCATCGTCCTTGCAGAGATTGAAGTTTGCGTTGGTCCCTTTCCATGCGATGGGCGGACTCTTGAGATGCATAGGAGACCTACTTTCGTTGACGAAGCCATCCTTGCTACAGATGAATTGATATATTCTTCAACAAAGTCTACCAAATCGTCCGAAGTAAAACTCACGCCGCTAAACGATTCGGTTTTGGTTTACATGACGCAATACGAGGAAGTGGTCAACTTCCACTCTTTTGGGGGATTTGAAACCAAGGTTTAGGATCTGGACTTTTTGACATTTCCTTGTCTGCCATCCCTCGAATGAGGCTCAGTGTCTTGGTTGAATATTGCTGTAAACCGGGATCTTTGAAATTTGTCGTTCGTTGTAGCTCGTGACCCCTGATGAGGGATAGGACGTAGTGTCTTCCCCAAATGGTGTGCCAGTCTTCTCGACTATATGCTTTCGTCACGTTGTCAGTCAAATCAGCTTCTATGGCTCGCAAACGAACAGCATATTCGTCGCTCGCTAGAAATGCGGCCTTTTGCGACACATTATTAACTTCGCCGATCAGTTTTTGGCATTCTTTCTGAGCCAAAGACAAAGCATTGGGGTCATTTGCGTGGAAGCGTTCTTCTGCATTTTGAACCATTGACACCAGCCTTCCTCGCAGTCGGGCTATTTCAATGTCAAGCGTGGTTACGAAGTCTGCTTTCCCTCCAAGCAACCCATCCAGTTCGCGACATTTGGAGTAGACAGATATATCGTTGCTTACAAGCACATCTATAGTCTGACCATAAGAAAGACTAGGAATTTGTATGCAGAGTTGCGATGGATTCTCAGCCTCCGCATCAAAGCTGTCGTCAATCCATGGATTTCTGTGTTTATCATCGAAATACAGGAAACTTGAGTAGATCGCTGTGCTCAGTATATTCGCTGTCGCGCTCATGAAAACAGTGCCGGCGAAAGATTTGTCTGGTAGAAAGCAGAATTGTCCGTCGCCTTCTGATGCCAGGGAATACAGAAGTCGACTATCAATGTTGTATCCAAAACCGAAAGTAGATAACCGACATCTCCATTGCAAGTGCTTTTGCTTTAAGCGAATGAAGCTTTCAGCTTCTCCACGTGGAGGGTGGATATCTGGAACACTGTCGGTTAAGACCAAAATTTCTGCCGCTTTTCCGGTGGCCGTCTTAATTGCTTGCAAGAGTCCACCCCAAAGATTGGACTTGCCGGTCGGTTCGAGAGTCTCCAGCAGACGGAGGGCTGAAGGCTTATTCTCCGCGGTCATTTTCGTAAACGGCATAAGAACTGCACCCTCGTTGGAATATGTCACAATGGACAGCTGGTCATTCGGACCCAGAGTTTTCACTACTTTCCTTGCAGCATACTTGATGATGTGCAAACAGGAAGGTTGATCACCTGAATCACTGATGTCGAGGACACAAATGATAGAAGCAGGGACTTGGTTTTCAGCAGAAAAATCAGGGACCTTTATCCGCACAATACCAAGATGATCCCGTTTTCGAATGGCTGCTTGAATCTTGAGCTTGCAAGCCAATCGAGACGGCAGGTTATCCACGTCATCGTCCTCTCCATCTGAACCATGTAATGGCAGCTCTACCGTTGTTGGTACCGACTGGTCTGCCTCGTCTTTATGCTTGCGGAACCGCATCCCAATTCCAAAGCAAGAGTTTCAAAATGGGTTCCGTATAGTTGAAAGCGTTGTTTTTCATTTCTATATTCCTGCTTTTTTCTTAAAGTTATTTTTTCAAGGGACTAACGAAGTCGCGAAATTCGCAGACTCCAGTATTACCACTCTAATGAGAGCCAGCTATTTGGGGTACCTGGTAGGGTGCGAGTACCGGTTATACTTGTACATCGGCAGAAAATAGTAGAAGGAGAAAGATAGTAATGGGACGGAACCGCGCGGCAGGGGATTGTGAACTACCTATTATTGCGTGCTTTCAGAAGACAAACGAAGTTTTGCCTCGACTAAGTCGTGAATAATCGTATTCAAATGGTTTTCAATATTCTTACAGTGCCGTTCTAAAGCAAAATGTTCCAACCCGCCCGTCTTTTGGATTATCTTCATCCGACATAAGCAGAACAATTTCGGCGCCTCCTTCTGCAGCAGAATATCTCATAACTGCATCAACAACAAAGTGACCAACATTTTCCTGAGCAATTAACTCAAGACCAGTTTCTGCAAGTTCATAAGCGACCACTAATCCTTTTTTTCGGACGATGATCACAATTGTAGTTCCAAGGGAACAGCATAGTACCTCTGGCCAATTGCCCATAGCCAAGGTCGGAGGCTCGTAATCGAAGCCTTTGTAAGGGCCTAGCTCAATCAACGCATCTGTCATGACTTCTGTCAATCCAATGGAAACTTCGGAAGTTTCGGTTACCGCTGAAATACAAACTACTAGGTCTTCTTCAGCTTCAACAACAAATAGCAGAAGCGGCATCCAGGCCTCGTAGCCAATATCTGGTGGCGAGCAGAGACATGCACCCAACACATTGCTAAAAGGAATACACAGTGAGGTCGCGTTGACAGCGCGCGCACTCTTCAGGATAAGTACTTACTCATGCGCGCAGAGTGCTAGTGAGTCTCCGCAGATAGGTACCAACCAGGCTTCTACAGAACCACCCACAGCCGTGTTTGTCACCAACAGCATTCCCACTTTCGAGAGCATGTCTGGACCATCAAGCCCGTTTGTTCCACCTTCTTCGTAGCAGACAATCTTCTTTCCCTGCAGTGTAGAAATGCCGGGTGAGAAATACACAACATAACGCCACGCAGTGTGAAACGAAATACATACCTGCAGCTCGGGTCCTCGCTTCCAAACTTGTCGCGGACGTGGTGATTCGTCCAGTGGCATCCAGTGGAATCCACCAACTGGAGTTACTAGCATGAAACAAAGAGTGTCCTCTCCAGCCTCTGGGGGTAGGAATCGCCAGAAGTTCAATTTTGTAGTCATTTGCAACTCGACGACGACCGTTCTTGTCGACAATTCAAAGACCACCATGCGCTTGTCCTTTGCGAGAAAGCAACAGAGGAATTCACTGCCATCCTCGTCCATCTGATCACTAACTATTGCTCCACTTGCACCGATAGGATATGTAAGGCCAGGTGGGATTTGGTCGTCCCTCCATACAATGGTTTTTTCGGACCCACAGATCGATATGGCGCCAACACCAAACCTAGCACAAGAATAGGAATGATTAACAAAAAACAGTACACGAATAGATCATAGAAAGTTGCGTACCGTTCAAGCTCTCGATAGTCTGGTAAACCTCCACGGTTGCCTCCAAAGTGCCTCGTTGCTGGCGGACCTCGAATCAAGGCTGCTGCTGCAGATGATCTTACTTGCTCAGATAGTGGAATGGCACTATCCCACAAAGGAGATATTTCTGGACTCTCTTCGAAAGTCTCCATTCCTGGCTCTTCTACCTGGTCTACAAATGATGTTGGTCCTGTTGTTTCAAAATTACTACCTTCGCCAAATGCAGCATTGAAGGGCACAGGCATGCTGTCTTTTGACCCGAAGCCACCAAAAGCATCAGCACTGAATGCAGCATTGGCAGCAGTATCCTGGAATGTTGGTGGCATTGACTCTGTGGCTCCAAAATCTGAGTCTCCGAAACCAAATCCTTCGTTTCCAAAACCAGCATTTTCGATCTTGGACTCTTCTCGTTCGTCTGCTTTAGGAGGTGCAAGCAATCCCTTTCGAGGTCTCGCCTTTTCGGAACTTCGCGGAGGTGCCAACATACCAGTTGGTGTAGATGCTGATCCTTTGGGCGGAGCCAAAAGTCCTTTCTGCGGTATTGTACTCTGTTGCTCGCTTCCTTTTGGAGGGGCCAAGAGTCCAACCTTTGCCGAGGCACCCCCTTTCTTCTTGATTCTTACCGCAAACTTTTTCTTGATTTCAGCACAATACAGGTATTCTGTCATCATGGTTCTGATGTCATCTGCAGCTCGTTCTAGTGCCCATGCTCGTAATTCAGCAATGCGGAATCCCGCGGGATGGTCAAGTGCGAAGGCAACATAGGATTTCTCAAGGAGCGGATCAAGTGCTGCAGCTCCAGAGAAATCATCAATCTCGAATTTGGGTGGGGCAAAATTCAGTGTATCAGAGATAGCGCTCGCACCCTTTACAAAGACATTGACCTTCGAGCTAGTCATTGATTCTTGCTTGAAAGTGAGGCAAACGTGGTTCCAATATCCGAATCGAATAGTGCTCTTGATTTCTTCCTCCTCGTCATCATCGTCGCTGGCAGTGTGCGGTGTAGTTTTGAGACTGGAACCAGAAACTGTTCGGAATTCCAATTCTCCGTTTGTTGACAAAATAAGCTCCCACAAAACGCTTGCCTTGTCACTTGCTTTACAAACACTCTCCAGATTGTCAGCGGAAACGCCATATGTCCTACGCATTAGGACAATGGAATCCTTGACTGACGCTGGTACCCAAAACCAGAATTCCATTGAGCACTTTTGGCGAGCTAAATGGTCAGGGCTGTGCATCATGCCAATATCCAAACTTCCACCACGCGGCGCCGGCAATCCCAGCGCAGCAGCAATACCAACTCCGGATTCTTCAAACACTAAGTCGTAAAGAGCTTTGACTTTACCGCTCTCGCCCTCATCAACGCTAGAAGTGGAAACCTCAAGTGCGGTCGTGTCTCCACAACCAACAAGGATTGCTCTATTCTCAAACTTTGTGATATCAGCAAATCCCTCTGTGCGCCATCCACTCTCCTCGTCGTCTCCCTCAGACAATCGAAAGTATGCAGAGAGCTTGTCTTCGTCCTTCAAACCTTCTCCGACACCATCAACCCATCCATCTTTCGTCTCATCCTCATCTTGATCGCCGAATGAATCGTCATCTTCTTTTCGTAAAATATCAGCTAAGGTTGTTGCACCTCGCACTTCGGCACTCTTGACACCTTCCTTGCCGAGAATGGCCGGTTTACGGCGGCCGAACCAATCATGCATGTTGTCCAGAACAAGCAAGTTCTCTTTTTCCTTGTTAGGTCCTTCGTTCCAAACAAGCTTCATTTCACTAGTTTCCGTAGCAAACAGCTCATCTCCGGCCCTTACTCGCTGTTTACTCATTTTTGAGAATGCGGATTCTCCGATGACCCGAGGCCGCAATCGACCAAATTTCTTTCCCCGTTGAAACGACGGGGCAAGTGGGCGTATCCAGTTGTACCTAAATTCATCGTTAGGTATTCCCATGTTTTTCCGAAGTTCAAGGGACAAAGCTGCAAGTGACGCAGCATTCGTTGATCGAATTGATTTGCCAATTTGGGACAGATCATGAGATTGGCACAGCGCCTCCAAGACTGGAGTAGCATCTATTGCATGATCCATTTGCAGTGCCAGTGAGAGCTGCAGTACCATCGCATCAGAGTTCTCAGTACCAGCGATATCCAAAAGCTTCATGGCATCTACGAAATTCCCTTGTTTCAAAGCATTCATTCCATATCCCTTCGAAAGGAAAGCAGATGGATCGCTTGGACGTGGCAATGTTGATGCCATGTTCGAGTCTGGACTTTTGATGTATTCTGAAAAGTACTGATCCCCATTGGCAATTATGTGCATGAGAGTGTCGGCATCTCCCATTGCAGCTTTTGCTTTCGCTGATACAGGCATCCACGAGGGCAGAAGACGGCTATTGGTAGATCGACCAAAATTTACCGTTCCTGTTAGCAGCCATGATGCCGCTGCTTCCAATCCGTATTGCTCTAGTAGGTCGAAGACTTTCGGAGTTAGTCCAGCACCCAAATTTCCAATGCCTTCGTTGTCTCCATGAGTCATCGTAGAAACCTTGCGTCCGAATTTCTCAATTACCGTTCTAAAGAAAGGCTGAGTAGCTGTTTCTGCTCCACCGCCAGTTGCAATGGCATTTGCAACCATTGGTTCTAGAAGCAACGCTGGTCTTGTTGTTGCTGACGGCAACATGAAGATTCCTGTCGACTGTCCACGCTCGACGAGGCGAGATCCATTGTGGTAGCATGTATAGATGATTCGATCCGGTCGCACGGCTAGGATCAAGTGAGGACTGTAGGTGTGCCGTGGTAGAGGTAAAGACGCAATCAATCCTGTACAACCAAATGCTGATGGAACACCACTCAAGTATTTAATTGCATGGTCATCCTGTGAACAGTATCCAACTGTGAAGGAGCCCAAAGGGACTAGAGATGTGGGAGGCAAGGAGACATCGACTTGGGCAATAATTTCCAAGGATGCCGACAACACCATTATCCGTTTGGTAGACCCTATCGCAATACCACCTCGGATTGCTTTTTCACCCGGTAAAGGTACGACTAGACACAACTCTTCGTCTTCTTCCAACCAAATGCAAGGATCTCCTTCCAGATTTGGCAACAAGTCTGACCAGACTAAATCGTCGTCTGGTTGTAACGGCCCAGCCAAGATACAGACTCGTCGATCCTGCCGTCGTCCTGCAACCAAGAGTCCAACCTGATCCTGCGAGCGATAGGTGGTCATTCGCAGAACATCCACATATTGACTCTCAATATCGAAATTTTCTCCTCCCTTCTGATCACTTGATGGCAAACCGAGAATTGGTTTACATTCAACTCCCACAGCCGGTTGCCAAACATGCTTACTAGAAGTCTTCCGTTGCTTGCGACGCCATAAGTTTACAGAACCACCATTTGAGTTGACAACAAGCATCTGTGGTATGGGGGTGACTTCATCCTCGTCCATGGCATTCGGAAGGAAAACTATTTCGCGTTCATCTTTGAACCAATGGGCAACCTTCATGCTGTCCTTCACTCGTTCAACTAGTGCAATACGTTGAGTGCCGTCAATAATATTTTCGAACCAAACAGCAATATACAGCCCTTGAAAGTCTCGCGATATCCGAAACGGAATCAAGTTGCTTGCGGAATCTGTTGGTGTCAGTTCCACCAAAACCTTGGAATATGTCCCACCGTAAATGGTGTCGTCATCCTTCTTCTGCTTCACACGTTGGTTGACATCGTCCAGGACGGCTTCTTTGCAGTCTCCACACGCTGTTTGGATGAGCCAATGTCGCCGACCTGGTACAGACCATTCCAAATACTCAGATGAGCCTTCTCCGTATACCACCTTGCGTCTCTCGCAGTGAAAGGTCGTGTAAACATGTAGTGTTCCTGCTTTGTCACTGACAGCATCGCCCCAATACGTGGTTCCAGATGTGGAAAGACCAATGGGAATGCTTGTTGGATTGCGCATGATACAATGAGCAAAACGGGAAAACCTCAGGACTTCCAAACCAGTTGAGGAGAAGTACAGTACGCCTGGTAGGTTGGTGCATGACATTAGCTCACTTGGCGGGATATCAGCTGACAACTTGGGCATACTCCATTCACAGCTATCCCATACATGCACTGTGCCAGAGGGCAAGTCTTTCACGCTCCCTTTGTAGGGAGCCAGTATACAACTCACAAGGCCCAATCTTGAATATTCCAAGTTTGTGCTCAATCCTGTAGCAAGTACTGCTACAGTCAATGGCATGTGCGCTCCAACATCGACAAAGCTGACAGCAGTCTTATGGTACACAGCTGGCCATCGTGTTGCCGCGACGGGATGGAGGACAATAGTTGATCCAAGCTGCGTTGAATTGGTCGGGGCTTTAAGTTCGACGTAGGCGCGTTTCGCCTTGTCCTTTATTTTCGGTAACGAGACGTGATAAAACAAGACGCCCCCCTGGAAAGCGGCCACCAAAATCAACAATGTATCGATTGGACTACTTGTTGGATTCGGACCTGACCATTCCAAACGCGTACAGTATCCAATTTCCCCCGTTTGCTGCACGTTTGCGTCTGCAGCAGTATCGCCATCATGAACTGCAACGCCAGACAGCTTTGTGGCTGATGCCTTTTTCAATGATCTGACATCCAATCGGCACAATGGGTACAAGAGTCGTCGCAATGTCTCTGTTGTCTTTGAATTGACTGCCGTCGCTGCCTGATACGTCCAAATGCTCAATGATCCATCAGTCAGCCCGATGGCCAAATACGGCAATCGCTGTGGCTTTGACTTTGTTGTCGAAGAGATCGTAGTCGTAGTGACAGCCATGGAAGCAATGCGAGTTGGATCCTTGCCAACAAAGTTCGCCGTCCAGGTCTCTCTAACAGTTGGTTTGGATAAGAAGACACACGGCCCCTTTGCTGATGCCCCACTCACAAAGACACAGGAATCAGCGACGAGAAGACTGGTTGCATTGTAGCTAAAGTCACTCCCAGAAGGAGGACTAAGCAGTGATTGGAGCTGAATGGAGTCTGTACTGCCCGCGTAGCCCCATTGCCAGGTTACAATTACACGGAGTACCTCATTATTTTCCAAGACAAGCAAGTCCAAAAGACAGCCCACCCGCGCTCGAGTTTGGCCACTGGATGAAGTGTGTAATCCACAAGCAATTGTCACAACGTTATCCACGCCAATCACGGATACATTGAACTTTTCTGCCACCTTTTTTTGAAGATCCATGCTCAAAACAGGAATACTGGCGACTTGAACCTTTGTATGGGGATTGAATTCGCAGAGAGCCAGTTCTCGGTCCTTGCGATTCCGTTTCGCCAAAATCACATTTCCATTCAGAGGATTCGCTGTTGGGGCTGTGGGAAGCCTTCCATTCGTATAAATCTTGACGCAACCTTTTTCCTTGTTTTCAAAGCGGAGGGCTTTGGATGGTCCAGGAATTACTGGAGGGTCTTCTATAGGGGACTTATCCACCAATCCGACTGCTGATGATGTTGGCAATTCAAACGACGGTGGAATATAATCATCAACAACAACTTCGTCCTTTGATTCTTCCGCCGCAAATGCAGGCTGAGTTCCCGCAAAGTCTGCCGGAAAGCTTTCAAAGGTTGCACCAAAAGAATCGGGACCCTTTTCGAATTTGTCCAATGTAGCACCTTCCAATGACCCAAAATTGGAAGCTGGGGTCTCTTCAAATTGTGGTTGCTCCGCGTTACTAGATTCTTGAGGAAAGGCGGCAAATCCTTCATTGGAAGCAAACAAGGAAGGTTGATTTTGTTCGAATCTCGGCTCTTCTCGTTCGTCTTCTTCTTCGCTGGACGAATCATCTGTTTCTGCGCCAGTAGTAGACTTGGATGCACTAAATCTTGTGTCATCTTGTGCCTCCACTGTAGGCACGGCACTCGATGCAGGCGCTGCCTCTCCGGTTTGGCTGGAAGCGGCAAAAGTATTCTCCTCCTCAACTGGTGCACTCTCCGGAGGATCTTGCGGCAGCAACTCGGATGTATTCTCCTTCACTGGTGTCTTCTTTGGAGGATCTTGCGAATTCGACTGGAAACTCTTTGCTTGTGCCAGGGCCTCTTCCCAATTTGGTCGTTGTTGCTGTTGTTGCTGCTTGCTTTCAATAGGGGTATCACCCGTCGTAGAACTGTCCACGGACGATGCAGCAGAAGAAACGCTGTGTTTTCCAGACCTACTGCTTTTGGAAGAATTCTTTTGTTGTCGGCGTTCGCCACTTCGGGAATGGGTGGATTCCGGAGCAGGGGTGACTTTTCGGTGCTTGTGGCTGCCTCCAGTCTCGCCACTTCCCACGGACGACTTGGTGCTGCGGGCCCTGCTGGATTTGGAGGCATCATCGCCAGGAGGTGGGGTGGACGAGCTGGAAGCCAGATGCTGATCTAGCTTTTTGCTGGGCGATTTCTTTTTCTTTTCGCTTCCGGCCTGCTCTTGCCTACTGCGGCGTTTCGCAAATGCGGCTGCAAGCTCGGAATTCATAATGACGAGAGCTCAACGGTTCTGGTTGTATTGTGTCTTTCTTATTTCAACTCGCATTCGGCTTGAGTTGGGTCTCCTTCAGAAGATAACAACGGCAACAAGCAGTCAATGGAATCTTATTTTGTTCACGAGTCTCTCGTAAAATTGATTTCTTTTGGATCCTTTCTTGTGTCAGTATGCGCATGTGCTAATAATGTCTTTTTTCATGCTTCACGATAGATAGATGATTACGTGCTTGACAGCCACAACGAGTATTCAAAAAAGGTATGTACATACGTAGTTTCGTATTGAATCACAGTACAAATTTCAAATTTGGAGATCCACCAAGAATTTACAACGGTATTATTCCAGCTTTGAGCTCTACTTCACATTATTAAAATCTATCTATATTTTATATCTCGTGGGTACATAGATGAGTAGTCATGTAGCCACTACCTATACTATGATGCTAATGAAAGTCTTCAAACGAATCATACATCTGGTACTTTGGAACATGGGAAGTCAGAAACTTCCACGCTTTATCATCAAAGACACTCCCCGGGATTGATTGAATGTGCTGTGGTCCATAGCCTTGCCGGATCCCCTGGCCACCATCGGAACACCAATAATGGCCGCCATCAGTCCCTCCTCGAGTACATCTTTTGAATATGTATTCCTTGTCACTGGTATACCGATAGTGATACAGCAAAACCACTTTCGAGGGGCAAGTCTTGTCGGTAGCACCTCTCGGCGTCAAAGCATACTTGTGATTCGCTCCTGGATAGGCGGTTGTATGAATATTGCTGGTATTGGTGCCGTTGACGACAACATCTCTCACATACACGGCATGCGGATTTCGGTGCCCCAAGTAATCACTTGTCTTGACGATGCTCTTGATTACGAAATGTGCCTTTTCGTCTCTGTACTGAAATCGTTTGGTGATTGGAAGTGGAGCATAGACCGATTTGTTGGCACTTCCCACTAGCATCCAATTGACTGTCAATGCCCCGCCAAATGGAACCAGATAGTCTTGTAGCAAATCCAAAATGTTGCGATATTTGGATTCATCGACTAAGACAAAGAATTCATCGACATCAATAAAGGCAAAGTAGTCATGTCTTGGCCCATTGAATCCAAATCGATGAACACAATCTTCGTAATAGTCCGTTTGTGGATCAACCGGTAGCATTTCTTGTTGCTGTTGATTGTTCTGAGATTGTTGGTTGTCATCGTCGTCATTGCTCTCTTCTTCTTTTGAGGAACTGCTACTACCTTTTGGCTTCCGTGCATCCGACAAGTGCATAACTTCCACTTTGCTATAATCAGGATGTGCTCGAGTATGATTGTACCATCGTTGCAATTCGAAATTGGGCGAATCGTCATACAAATAAACATTGGAAAACCCCATGGCCAAATGATAGTCAATGAATTCTTCAAAATAGGCCTCTGCGTCCTTGACACAAACACAAAGAGCCGCTGTGAAATTGTAGGATTTGGTTTCCATTTGGTGTTGAAAAGACACCCTCCTTTGCAACAAATCCCGAGGTTGTCCGGTGAGTGATTGTGTAGGATCGTCGTCATGACAGGAAGTAGAAGAATCCGCATCCTTGGACAGTTTGGTGAACGACCATATGCAAGTCACTAGATACAATCCGACGAAGGATCTTGTTATTATGGTAACTGATTGTAGTCGCTTTGCCATGATGAAGATACTGCTGTAGGAGGAGTGCTGATGAAAGGCAAAGAATGACACAATGAGAGTTGTGTCGCTTTTTGAATGGCATCATGAGTTTTGCAAATGATCGGATTAGTCGCACAACACGATCAGTATGAAATAAATCGCATAATATTTTATTCTACCGGTACAGTACTCCCACAAGGAAACAATCAGCAAGGAATTGACTAAATCCAAGGGCGAAGATAGGACCCAACCATACTGCTGGTGGATACCGCTTTCATTTTAGGGGCAGGCCAGCATCCTACGACCATGAGGAAAGGCGAGACGAAATTCAATAGGTACTCTAAATGACCAAAAGCTTGAAGTGGTAGTTTCTATAATTGTGCTTCATACATAGTATGTCCACTCTTCATCCAGTTCTCGTCAATTTTGGTTTGGCAATCGACTACCCAATTCTTCAGGGCAGCTAGAAGTGGTCGTACTAGGAGGAGAGATTGAACGCTTCCTCATGACGCTCCAGTGATATGGTTGTTGGTCATTGAGACAAGGTGAAAAGGCATTGAATCTTTCCTTAGGCACACAAAATACTGCTTTCGCAATCATGTTGCATGGCACATACCTAGGTAGAACAGCTCTCCTGGGGCTTTCTGCTGGTCTGGCGTACAGATCTTTTGGATACACTGGAAATTTTCAGAGAAGACAGGCACACACTGGATCTTTTCTGGGGCACACAAAAGACTGCTTCCAAGATCATGTTATAGTGCACTGCGCACGTGATAATTGATGGTACATGTGTACTGTAACTGGTACAAAAACCTGTACTGTAGTGTGTTGTCCTGGATCTTTTTTCGGGATAAGAAAAAGACTTCTTTGTTTTTGGTACTACGAGTAGTGACCCTGACGCACTTTTTTTTCTCGCCGTAGAACCATACTGTAATATATATCCCACTGTACAATGATGTACCTCCATACAGCGAAAGTATCTTGATATTGTGATACCCTGGATCATTTCACAACTAAAATACTACTGCCGTAGCAGGATATTGCATAGCAATAAATAAATCCATTCTCGTACAACCCGCGTACAACACGGTACCGGTACAAACGTATCAAAAGTTGTCAAATCTTTTTTTGGGATATGCTGTTTTCTTGGATCACAATCTGATATTCCTAACGATTGAAAGATGAAACCATCGTCTCTTGCATTGAGATCGCTCGTTGGAAGCTTCTGCTTCTTCTACGCTTCTAGCCACATGGCAGACTCTACTCCTTTCGATCTTTATGATGAGAATGGTGAGCCTTTGGGTGAGTGTCAATTGAAAGGTGGTGACATCAACAGTTGGATTGTTGATGAAGCTGGGTACACCGTGTGCCACAAGAATGGCAACGGAAGATCGGGAGCTCACCACAGCCGCCATCTCAGCCGAGAACATGCTGAAAAGATGCGTGCTCTGCACCAAAAAAGATCCCGCGAACACAATGATGTAACTATGGAAACAGTCCGCGCTGAAGAACATGGAGAAGTGCTTGGATATGGCGACGATGGTGAATTCGTGTACTTCTACTGCAAGAAGCTCGAGGGCGGAAAGATCACTGCTGACTTGCGTTATCCAGTGGCAACCACTGACCCCACCGAGATTGACGACCTGGAACCAAACATCCACAAGTCGTTGCGCGTTGCAGCAATGGAAGATGGAGCCTACGGTGAATGCTCACTCAACACAGGAGGAGTTTGCGAGCCCGATGACACGAGAGATCGTCTGCTTCGTGGTCGTGAACTATCTGGGCTCAAGGAAGGAACGGTCCGCAACTTGGTCATCCCTATCAAGTTCGTTGGACACGAAAGTCAAGCACTCCCTTCGAAGGGCGATCTCGAGGTCCTGATGAATGCCATGGAGCCTGACGCTACCAGGGCACCAACTGGCGGTGTGAAGAAGTTCTTTCATGACAACTCGTAAGTATTGAAATTGAGACTTCGTATGCTTTGTAAAACAACTCAATACTGATACTTCAATGTGAACTGCTCTGTTGTAGGGGAGGAAAGCTGACCTTGGAATCGACAGTTGTTGACTGGGTTCAGTTGACTGGCAGTACTAATGGTCGATCTCATACTGAGGAGTACTGTACCGGAGCCTTTGATCTAAATACCAAAGGCCAAGGTAACGGAGCTACATACCTACACGACTGTTTGGTCGAAGCGTTGAACAAGATTGATAGTTCCGTTGACTTCAAACAATTCGATAGTGATAATAACAACAAGATCGACGCCATCACATTCATCCATTCGAGCTATTGTTCCACCGCTTGTGGCAGTGCAAGAGACAAGATTTGGTCTCACCAGTGGGGGCTGAATGATAAACGGTGGACAAGCGCAGAGGGCGTTGTTGTTAACGCATACCATATCAATCCAGGATTGATTGGTTGTTCGGGAAGCAAGATTGGAACCATTGCCACCATTGCACACGAGACTGGACACTTTTTGGTAAGTATAATGTGGATGGATGGATGGATGGATGGATCAATTGCTCTGCTCAAGCGACGGTATTTGTGCTCACATCTGAACCCATTGCGATCTTCAGGGCTTGCCCGATCTGTACGATAGAAATGTGTCGGTGCTTGGAGTTTGATGGCAACGAGTGATGGTTTTGGTAGTGCGAAGACACGTATGTATCGCAATCACTGCCTGTCTGATATGTGAAAACAGAAGGCTAACAAGTTTCTGTCATGCTCTGTTTGCGCCCATCGCCTATTAGACCCTCCCATGCTAGACCCGTGGTCCAAACTAAAGTTGGGCTGGGGAACGGCCACCGAGCTTTCTTCATCCGAAAATAAGGTGGTGTTGCAACCTTCCGCCACAAATCACAAGTATTATAAGATCAGCAAGGGCTTCGCAGCAGGAGAGTATCTTCTCATAGAGAATCGCCAAAAGAAGTCCTTTGATTCGAAAATCCCAGAGGTGAGTGAGCAAATTGTTGTGTGAAACGCTTTTGATAAGTTGCTGAATGATACTAGCAAAGCGAGTCTGACGCTCTCATTGTTGGTTCTCGAACATAGGCTGGACTCATGATTTGGCACATCGATGAAGACAAAAGTGGCGACCAGAATGATGACGAAGGGCATCCTGGGCAACCAGATTGGCCTAGCAATGGCAGACACTATCATGTCGCCCTGATGCAAGCTGACGGAGAGTACAAGTTCGAGAAACAGAAATCTGGTGATGGAGATAAAGGTGATATGTATGGACAATGCCTTGGGGGTGGAACGTTTGGTCCCTCCACCACTCCCAACTCCAAAGGTTATCAAGGTGGTCACGTCAAAGATACTGGTATCACAATCACCAATATCTACCAACAGGGAGATGATATGGTCTTTGATGTTTGCTTTGGAGATTGTGCCTCGGGTTCTGCGGCACCACCTGCTCGTGAATGCTGCAAAGATCTGAAAGATTACACAATGTGGGTGAAGAAGGAGGGTACTACGAATAAGTATTATTCACACACATGCGACGAGATTATGGTGAGTTTCAATAATGTTTATTGATACCAACAGCGCTGCATGGTTTTAACAAGTTTCGATCCATTGAAACCCATCCTTAGAGCAAAGATATGTGTGATTCTACAAATGGAGGCGAACCAAACACAGGTTTCGCGATGACAAAGCCCAAGGATGCATGCTGTGGATGCAAGGGCGGTCGCTTTGCTTCACCTGGTGCCATCCCTGCTCCAATTACTCTCCCCCCAACTGCTGCCCCTGCTCCCGGCTCTACCTGCAAGGATACTGAAGGTTACAAACTGTGGGAACACAATAGTGGTACCAACTATTTCACATTCACATGCAAAGACGTTTTGGTGAGTTTCAAAAATATTTGATTGTTATTTACCTTGCCGCATGTTTTTGTTAACAACTTTCAATCCATTGAAATCCGCCCTTAGAGCCAAGGCAAGTGCGATTCGAGTAGTGGAGGCGAACCAAACACACCCCTTGCCACCAAAAAGCCAAAGGAGGCATGCTGTGGATGCAACGGCAGCTGCAAAGACGATACGGCATGGAAGGACAGTGGCAATGATACATGTGCCGGGTATACCAAGCAACCAAGTTGGTGTGCTGGAGCTGAAAAATATAAGAATGCTGCTGGTGCTTCTGCAAAGCACGCTTGCTGCATCTGTAAACTCTATCCTTAAGCTCATGCTTGTTCTCAATCATTGACGCCAACAAGACTTCTATCATCTATTCTTTGTTCTGTTGTAATCCGGTGGGGTATGATTGATGAAATCATGTTTAAATACACAAAAGTTCATCTCACGAAACAGATAGTACGTTTTAAAATCAAAATCAAAGGAAGCACATTTCATGGGTCAGCACCATTCGATTCGTTGTTTCCAAATTAAACTGTATCGTAGAAGGTTGCTATTATGCTAGCTGATGTACAGGGTCAAATTGATCGACCATGAAAATTGAGTGCGTGAGGCGTCTTGTTCGCTCGTCAGTCAGTCAATCAGCCAGTCGTGTTTGCACCAGAAAATTAGGATGACGTCGCATTTGAAATTGAAAGTCGTCGCCGTCACGCCACTGCCAAAAAAAGCGTTCCGAAAAGCTCAACCTGCACATACCAGAAAAATTGTGAGAGTGCAACCAATACCCGCACACTTTATTCAGGTGAGCTAGGTAAGCCATTTCTTTTTAGATGTACAGTAGTAGATTGGCAGGAAGATGATGCCGGATGCAACGGGGATGGGTCCAAGAATAGCAAGCCCAGAGAAATCGAACATGGCAATCGATTGGACAATGAGACTGATTCCTTCGAAATCCACAATAAGAAATGGTCAAGTGACTTGTGTTTGTCGCGGTTTCAAGCGTGATGCCCACATCATGCTTTCAATAAGAATGTATTCAACTTGAGCAACTGTCGTGGAAGTCGGATTCATCCTCGTGGCCATGTGGCGGTCTCTTTCTGGTCAAGAATTGTTTTTGGTTCATGGTGGCCAGAATAGTTGATTCATTCGAACAAGTCAAAATACTTTTCAAATGTCATTGGTCGAAAACCCGAAATCTTCTCCTGCCCGCGTTCGCCAAGCATCTTTTTTTTTTGAATCATCATCACAAACGACTGACTCTTTGTCTCACCACATTACTTTCATTTCCGCAGATCCATTCACTTAAATTGTATTGTACTGTCAGTTTGTTGTTTTGCGAAAGGATGAAGTTGGAAGCACAGACGTTATATGACAGCATTGACCAATCGGTCGATGGCCCAGAAGAGTATCATCCACCGTTGTCTCCGGCATCGGGAGCGGAATCTCTCTTTTTGGCAGGATTGACGACCTCCTTTTCTCCCGATGATTTGTCTAAACAATTGCGTAAAAATCAATCTGCGTCGTCTTCTGTTTCTTTGAATACCACTGCCACTGACGATTTCATGACTGCTGCTGGAACTGTTGATGACCTCTTTATGGATTTGCCACGCGAACGATTTGCAATACCTGAAATGGATGACGAAGACGAAGATATGATGGCCAAGAAAAAGAGTAATAAAACCACGATGCCGCCAAAAGAACCTCTTAACACCACTACCACTGAATCGCATCCGGATGCTGCAGCTAATGTTTACGAAGGAGCGAAGGGAGTCTGGGCCTGGGGAAAAGGCGTAGCTGTCTTTTCTCCATTTATGGGAATGGCAGAAGCTGTCGCTGGGAAGGCACTCGAAGTTGCTGGAACTAACATGGAAGCCTTGGACTCTAACATCAAGCCTCAACTCAGGAACTTTGATTCTGGTATTTTGAATCCCGCCATTGAAAAGGTAACGGAAGTCATGTTGGGGGCTGCTGGAAAGGCGGAAGAAATTGTCAAGCCAATCTTTGTTTTGATCCTTTCGCCCTTTAAGATGTTGGAACAACAACCTTCCAGTGAGACACCCGAAGTTACAAACTAAGGAGTTAGTTGGATGAAAAAATATAGTAGTAGTACAACAACTTGTTGTACTACTGTAGGCAACGCCATTATCAATAATACATAGACCTGACTGCTTCGATCCTTAACAATTTTAAATACATCATTTAGATCCACGGATTGCACAGATCAAATGTGCATCCCAAACGAATTGTTTCGACGTTGACCAGTGACGAAATTCAAGCTGTCGTATCGCGCTGCCGCCATTTCGGCATGGGGAGGCCGTCATCACGTCGGGCACCAGCAAAAGCAGGTTGTAACCAGACGGTGTGTGGAACTTGCTCGGCTCCATCAGTACCCGCAGTACGAATGGTGATATTGGGAGATGATCTCAGTCGTACGACGTTTTGGTATGAATCTTGCCAGCCACTGGAAAGGAGAAAAGAAAACAAATATGGGAGCTCAGCTGTTCGGATCCTGCCCCAAACCACGAAACGTGTAAGAACGGCGAATTCTGTAAACCACAATCGATTGTTTCGTCTCTGCAAGGATCGCTCTTGTCCCCCTTATTTCGTTTGGGCTGCCTGTCGTCAAACAGCAATTTCAAATTCTACGAGTTAGTAGTAAAACAGAATTTACCGGGGGGCGTTGGATTCTGGCATGATGTCGCATTGCCGCTGCGAAGCCTATAATAGCAAGAACGGATACTCGACACCACGAGGTTGCAAGATGTGGACAGCAACAATAAGGATGGACTAGCCCGCAAGCACATGATTAGACAACGAAAAAATAAGGAATTAGAAAATATGGGCAAGTTCTTCCTCTTCAGCACGAGAGCGAAGGGAAGCAAGAACAAGCGTCAGATCAAGCGAAAGGCTGCATTGACTGCATCTTGTTGTTCTTCGAACGTCCTGCCTGAAAGCCTCATGAGCATTGTAGTGCTTTGCTTTCCTTTCTTGCCCCAAATTGGTGCCGTGAAGTTTCACGGCCGGTTCATTGTTGCGATGATTGATATAGAGGAACAAACCAAACTCACCTCTCACCTCCAATCATCTCGAATGCCAGATACTGCCAGCAACATTTATGCCCTTTGAACACTTGAGATGTTCATTCGCGTTCCACAAATTAGGAGAAACCGCAGGCGTCAATCCACTCTTTCCCCGTATCCAATCCCATCTCTCATATCATATTCTATTTCTAAAGGCGAAGGGGTACGAGGGTCTTGAGTTTCGCAACAATTCCGGCTACGTTTGACCTGCATTAGCCAATCACATTGCGTGAGTATTCTTCGAGGTGCACGTCTCGCCTGTACGACGACCGGAGTCAATGGACGCCGAATGAAAAGTAATTTCATGGTAGCGTTCCAACACTCGCATAATTGTTTTCAAAGCCAACTTCCAAAACCAAAATGACTGTCAATTTTGAATCCTCTACCATGTGTCTGTCCAATGATGATATGGTACATTCAATCGATGGTTCTGCTTTCATTCTAAACGAAACGGAGTTGGAATCCTTGCTATCAGATCTCCCCCCACTTGATGATTGCAACGACAGAGAGGACGAACAATCCTACGATGTCGAAATCGAAATTGACCCCATTCCTCTAGACGAGATCACACAAGGAGACGGAAGTGAAGCGTTGGTAGAATATGCTTCTTCTCTCGGCTCCTGCTTTCTCAGCAATGATGCTGCTCCTATTCAGGATGTCAACCGCATCCAAGAGATGCCATGTCAAACCAAGAACAAGACGACAAAGAAATCACAGCGAACCAACGAGAAGAAAAAGTCAAATGCAGCGTCAGGAAAGAAAACGACCGCCAAGAGAAAAATGGTACCCAAAATCAAATGGACTACTATCGTGACACATCTTTGTCCCGAACGGGATGTCGTATTTGGACGAGGTGGTCATGCCAATCACAACCCTGGCAACGGGTTCCTACTTCAAGCCGTGAAGATCCACAGCCCCAAGTACAAGAGCCTAGGCAAGGATAAAGACGGCAAAGCGGAAAAGAAACATATTGTTCAGCTGGTCGCGGCAATGATTGAAGCCAGGGGCGGCAGATTCTTGTTACGGCAAAAAACGGACGATGCGCCATGGCAAGAAGCAACCGAAAAGAAGGTGCATGATAAGATCAGTCATATGTTAAGGGACCAACCACATCCTCTGAAAAAAGTAGGCGATCTGCGATTTTGCTCTAAATAAAAATAAATGTATGAAGGAAATTTCTTCTGAAAATTCTTCTGAAAATTCTTCTGAAACACATAATTGCATGTAGTTTGTAGAAATAGGAGCGATGACTTTGGCTCCTCTCCGATAATGATCGAAACTGCTTGGCGGCAACTTTTGGTCGGAGAAAATACTAGCCTGCCGGCGATGTATAATTCTTGTCGATTGTGCTACTGCTGTGGTGTATTGTGCATTGGCTTTGTTCACAAGCTCGAAAAAAAAGGTATATTATATCTTTTCAGCACCGAATCCTTGTCGGATTGTGCTACGACTGCTGTGATGTAGTGTGCATAGGCCGGCTTTGTTCTTCGCAATCTCAGAAAAGTGGTTTGCAAGTTGTGTGGTGATATGTGACAGCGAATCAAAGAGAATACCTTCTCATTTTGAGAATCAGAATCTCTTGTCTTTGATTCCTGTTCCAAGCTATCAATTGTTTCTGTGCTTTTATCTCCATTGACTTCTTCATGTATCAATTCATCGTTTCGCATCAACCCAAAATATGGCAACCAAGAAGAATCCCAAATTTTATAATGGACGACGTAGAAGTTCCGAAAATATAGCCCCAGGTAGTTTTGCCTTCTTGTTAGATGTGTCCATCTCCGATACAACTTGCTTTGGATGTGACGGGCGTACCGAATCGGAATCATTTTTACTATAGTAATATGCTTGGGTATTATCGAACAGAATACAATCAAACGCAGCTGTAATTTTGTCCCCTCTGATGTAAAGAAAATTATCTTGGGCACAATGAGTAAGTAGGAAGTCTTCCTGGATCGATACTGCCGTCCCCACAATCAGAGTTTCCACAGGCATCTAATTCTCATGCTTTTCATTCCACCTCGAGGTCGATGGCAAAACTGATCGTCAACGAAAGAATGGTGTGATCGTCATCACGGCGAGGCATCCAGCCAGGCCAGTCATTAAGATCGACGGGTTGCATAGATCAAAGGTGCATCCTAAACGAATTGTTTCGACAGTGACCAGGAACGAACTTCAAGCTGTCGCATCGCACTGCCGCCATTTCGGCATGGGGAGGCTGTCATCACGTCGGGCACCAGCGAAAGCAGGTTGTAACCAGACGGTGTGTGGAACTTGCTCGGCTCCATCAGTACCCGCAGTACGAATGGTGATATTGGGAGATGATCTCAGTCGTACGACGTTTTGGTATGAATCTTGCCGTAGCCACTGGAAAGGAGAAAAGAAAACAAATATGGGAGCTCAGCTGTTCGGATCCTGCCCCAAACCACGAAACGTGTAAGAACGGCGAATTCTGTAAACCACAATCGATTGTTTCGTCTCTGCAAGGA